GAAACGTGTAGATGTGCTGCTTAGGGACATGGTTTAGTGAGTTAGGTGGTGTTGGGTTGGACTTGATGATCCTTGAGGTCTTTTCCATCCTTAATGATTCTATGATTCTGCATATTACGATAAATCTCTTCTCTTTAAGTGACAGATTTTGCATGAGGTCTCTGAAAACTGCTGGGTTGAAAATCATTGTTGGATTAATCGCTGTTTTAATTACATTACTATTTATGACCAGTGTAATGAGTTACTTGATAGTTACAGGTTTTGCTGAATTTTTGTTGCTGCTGTTCTCTCACGTAGATGGAAAATAAGCACCTGCTGGATGGATTCCTCCTCATTTAGGGGAAGGTTATGAGTCTCTATATGCAGGAGCTTTCTGGTCAGCTCCATGGTAATGTAGCAATACCAGTCCTTTTAGCTAGAACCCTTCTAGCAGGAGCAGAAAGTGCAGTATACTCATAAAATGCATGCTTGCGGAGAGGAGGAAACACATCATTAGTAATAGAAAGATGGACTGAAGACTTAGGCTGGGAGGTCTAACATTGCAGTATAAAACAATTGTGTCAGCAGAGCTGTAATTTATCTTCCTGTGTGCCTTGGTACTCAGCATTCTAAATCTGCTCTCATCTTTTTTGTTGAAGAACATTCCAGAGCTTCCAGACACTACAGAGCACTCTAGAACTGACCTATCTCGTGACCTGGCAGCCTTGCATGAGATATGTGTGGCACACTCTGATGAACTCCGGACGCTCAGTAACGAGCGAGGTGCAATGCAGGTGAGCAACAAAGGTTAACAAACACATAACAGGTACAGACAGTATGTCTTGAGTTACTTCTTAATATCAGGATGCTTTGTTAGTATTTCTTGCTAGCAGTATGAGTGATAAACATTTTGCAATATGTGCATTTCACCAGAAGGTTACTGGCTGTAAAGGTGAATACTCAGTCCGTGGTTTTGTTTCTTCATGCAACAAAGCCTAAGAGGTTTTTTAAAAGATACCAGAGCTAGTTTGAGTTTCTAGAGGAAGCCTAAACCCACAAAATGTTGTCTCTTGACGGGCTCTCCAGGTCATTAGTTTTAGGATCTTGGGTTTTTCATTTGAGAACTAAATTTACTTTTGTTAACTTTCTATTGATACCTCATTTCTGCTTCCTAATTTGCTGGTACATTTGTAAACCAACATGGCAAACTTTTTTAGAAAACCGCAACAGTGTGTTAGCAGTACACTTTCTTAGCCTCCCTGTTAAACCACAAAGCAGCAAAAAGATCCATGGGTGAAGAGGTAAGGTTCGTAATGCTGTTTTAGACTTCCCTTGCGAAGTCATGTCTAAATTGACTGGGGAATCAGCTGGTTCCATTTTTTTGTTTATTTTAAACTACCTAGTAGCAGGTCCGTTAGGCTGATGTTGAAACTGCTTCTCAAGCAAGACTGTTCTCTTTCCAGTTGCTAATGTATGGTTTTACTGACTCTCCTTCTACAGCATGTTCTTAAGAAGCTCTTGGCTATTACTGAACTGCTTCAACAAAAACAATATCAGTATTCAGTGTCTAATAACATCAGGTAGCAGCCCTCTACCTGAATTCTGCATGGATCCAGCCTGCCCAACATGGCAGCTCACACCAGTATCACTTTCTTCTTGCTCTTGCCAAAAACAGCACACCCTGTCACATTCCCAGTGATGTGTGAACTATGCAAAAAGAAAACAAAGATTCTGTTGGTGAATTATTGTACCAGCAGCTTTTTTAAGCTATCTGTGCAGGACATTTGCACTTTTTTCCACTTGGGAAACAGTTTTCACAATCTCTGAGCCTTGGTGTACAGTTCACCTTCCACAAAGAAAATGCTGTGACTGTGTCTTGAACTTTGAAAAATTATTTTCAGCACCTCTGACTGCCAAAGTTTTGCTGTCTTGTTGGAAAAGGATTAACAACTGACATGAAATGTGTTGTTTTGACAGCTACTTATAACTGGATAACATTTCTTATTGTAATTTCTGACTGGTTACAATAATTTTGACTGTTTCAATCACTTTAACTTGTATTTACAGTTTGCAGAATTTGATGTTATGATAGGAACAATCTTTACTGTACACTTTTTATACCATGCTGTTTCTCTTGCTGGAATCATGTTGAAAGAGAATATGCAGAATGGGTCTTGTCAGCTTTATTTTTTGATGTGCCACTGATTCAGTCTGAATGGTTCTTCCATCAAGAACTGTACATCCAGATAAATCACAATGCTTTTGTAAAATGTTTACAACAGTAAATAATTTCAACTCAGTAAATTTATTGATCATTGTATCAGACATGCATGCGTTCATTAAACCATTTTATAAAATATGTATTGTTTGGTCTTTTGTGTAATGCAAGTCTACTATAAATAATATTTTTATAAGTGAATAATATTTTTTTAAAATAAATCAAGCTGCAGATCAACTCTCTATAGAAACTGGCTACCTTTGGCTGCTGTGCAAATTTTTTACAGTGTCTGCACACATGATGTACTTCGAAGTGTTCATGAAGTGTCACTTTTTTAGCTTGAATCCTCCAAACAGCATTACCTTGTTCATATGCCTTAATTTGTATTATCACGGGGTGAGAAAGTAGATGTTGAAACTGTTAAAAAAATTAAACTATGCAGTTGATTCAAAGGATATTTCAGCATCACCATTTGTAACTTTTCTAGGCAGTGATCTAATAAGGAATAAAAGGATGATCAGATTCACTGACAAGGCTAATGAGATAATCAAACAAATAATTGTATATGAACACAGTTATTACACCGTTAGAACTACACTGTATCTCATATTAGAACTCTTTTATCTATTCACTGTCACACTAAAAGGTGGACTTTATCTTTGGGTCTTTGCTGTAACATTAGTGCATGTCTTCTAGGTTTGCAGGTGGCTGTTGCTGTACTGCCCTGGTCTCTCCAGTTGGGGCAACTTGCTTGAAGGTTGTTGTGGTTTTGAACCCCTGACTGGCAGGAAAACAGCACAAAGACCACTTGTTCACCCTCCCCCCTCACAGGGATGGGGGAGAGAATTAAAGGGGTAAAGGGAAAAGAGACTTCTGGGCTGAGATTAGAACAATTTAATAACTAAACTAGAATAATGTTGAAAATAATAATGATATAATGAAGTTAGTAATATATACAAATATATATATATATATGTGTGTGATACACAGTGATACCGCTCAATGACCAAGGCTCAGCCCATTCCCAGCTAATGATCCTGGAGCAAGGAGAATCCTGAAGCTTCAATCCCAGAACAGAGACACCAGAGAGCAGCCACTGGAATGGGTGATCCAGAGAGAGAGCAGTTCCAGACAGAGCCTCATCTCTATACCGGCCATGCCATGCATGATATGGAATAGACCACTGGTCCCTTTGGGTTTCAGTCCTAAACCTAAGGTTGAATCCTAGGCTAGTAACTGGGGCTGTGCTCCCTCCCAGCTTCTCCTGGCCCTTCAAGCAAAGAAGCTGGAAAGTCCTCAACTGTCCTGGCAACAACTATAACCCCTCAGAATGTGATAAGCTGCTTCTCAGCACAAATCCAGAACACCCTCACACTAGCTCCTGTGACGAAATTTAACTCTGTCCCAGCTGAAACCAGGACAAAGGTGGGTGCCCAGTGCTGTAGCTGAGAGTTTCCAGGTGTCATAAGTACTACACTTAGTAGACAGAAGTGATGTTTTTAATACAGCCTAGTGAAGATATACCTGTTTGCAAGACCTTGGTACTACTGAATTATTTTTTTTTAAATTGTGCCATAAAACTGCTTGACCTATTGCTGTGAAGCCTGTATTAATCTGCTTCTCAGAGGAAAAGGTAATTAACTATCTCTTTTTGTGCCCTACTTCGTTCTCTCTCTGTATGCTGTTAGGTCACACAAATCACAGTCCAAGTTCATATTTTTTTGCTTTTTGAACTATTGCAGTGCTCTGCTTACAGCTTCTAACCAGTTCACAACCTACATACCCAACTTAACAGTTAAGTCATGCTTCCTTCCCTTGATTATGAGGTGGTATGGAAATGGTGTCAGGCCTTTTGAAGTAAAATTGTGATAGCTGCTTTTCTGCCCTGACTAGTTGATGACCCTGCTGTAGAAGGATTTGTCAAAAACAGAGTGGATAAAATGGGTTATTTTGTAGATTTAGTTGGCTGGGCAGAGGCAGTAAAACATGGTAAAAATAGAAACTTTGGAGAACAGATTTAGCTGGCTAGTTACCTATTACATACAAAGTGTAGTGATGAGAATGAAGCTTGGGAACTCCTGAAGCTGCATTGTGGTGTGTGTATTGCACAACCGCTTACGTTCTAGAACAGTGCATGAAAAGGAAATAGATGTTGCTCTAGCTGTGGAAGACATCTAACTTCTTAGGAAGCTTTTAAAAATATTCTTCTCAAGTAAATTAGTCACAGCAACCAAATCTAAGATCACAGCTGCAGAGTAAGTCACAAAGGTGTGATTATTATTTTCCATATTGTAAAATATGTTGCTGCAGCCTCTTAGTACATTTGAAAAGAGCTTCCCAAATGTACCAAGTGTTATGGGCACAGCTGCATTCTTTTAGCTGCTTCAATGACAAGCTTGGGAAGAGGGGAGCACACCCTGCGCTAACACACATACGGGTCTGTTACCAGATCTGTCTCCTGCTTGCAGTTACCCAGTTCCCTAAATGCCCAGGTTTGACGTAACTGTAGGATTTACAGCATGACACTAAAGTCATATCTCGAACTGTTCCTGAACCAAAACTCTTCCCTGAGATGGACTTCTTAAAGTAAACTTTTCTTATTAATGTTTGTCCTTGAATGGATGAGAGTCTAATGGAACTACAACTACTTATTTTATTACAGTCAAGTGGTTTATTGCAAGGATAATAAAAACTGACATAATAAATACCTCATGACACAGAGTAAGGGACCTGTATCAGCCAGGTTCACAACTGACACCAAACAATAGTTTCTGCAGTGGTGGGACTCCATCTTCCTTCAACGTTACACTGAGTCCACAAGATCATCATCGGTCCACTCTTCCTAATGGAAGGGAAAAATGCAATGCCTTGAGCAAGATGTGAATTCTGTGTGTCATACTGTCCAATGGGCCTGGCAATATGTGACTGTAGGTACAGTGCTACTGCACAGGCTGTCACAGTAACCGCTATTAAGTATGGCCATTAAAGAGAACTGGAATAACACATAACTTTTCACATCTCTGAGTTGTGTCTGCTATCAGTAATAGACTTCAGTAGCAAGTTTAAACTCATTTTAAACCTTGTGCCTGTCCACGTTACTTGACAGATGAGTATTTCTACCAAGACACTTGCAGAGGAAAAAGCACAGACCAGGCACTGTGCTTCTCCTGCACACTCCATTCTACTTATGACAACCAGGTAGCAGTTGTCAGTCCCAGTTAACTTACCAGGCTATCTCAAACTGGAAATAAGAATTCATGCAAGGACTACACAGAATTTACTTGACAAAATGCACGTTTCGTAAGTTCTCTTTCAGATTCTCATCATATGCCTGACATAAACTCATGGCCAAGAAGTACTGAACAACACAAAAGGGTATTTCATTTCCTTTTCTCAGACTCCCCATAATCTGGATTTACTCTCAGACTGGCTCCCACTGCTAAATATGGGCACAGTCAAAGGAGCTTCTAAAAGTCCACTAGTGTGTTCTGATACTAATCAAGTTTTGATACCTGGGTTCATTTAAAATATTTCTTGCATGCCCCACCCAAGCAATATTACCCAATATCCTCTGTGTCCTGTGAAGGGAATAAAACAGAAATAACTTAATCCAGTAAATACTTTAAAGGGAATATCTTCTGATTTATTTTAGCTAAAAGTGGCTAATCCCAGAGCACAGGAGTGAAAGCCTCCTGGGACTAAGCTCTACTTCCTGTTTCTGCAAACATGCCACAATGCTTATCAGTAATACCACCCTCTCCTGCCAAACCCACACCAAAAAAAGCTGTGCTCCTTATGACCAGGATTTAATGCCCAACAGAAGTATTCCGTAAACAGAAGAAAGACTAAGATTAAATATTTTAACTAGTAGTGACCAAACCCTTTAACCTTAAAGCTAGTTATCCATGCCTATTGAAGTCATGAAGACCCAGTCATTTTAGCAGACCCTTTTTACCACCTGTTTGAGGTTCAGCTCATGCTTCTTCATCAGGGACAGCAATGTAGAGGTTTCCACAAAAGCTCATATTGCCACCTTTTACTAATATCTTTCACTTTTTTGGCTTCACTACTTTGGCAGCCGAGTCATCTGTGCTCAATCAGTACCATGTGTTTCAAACAGATGAGCTCTCCATGCCAGTTAGGGCCTTGCTGTTGGTATTCACTTCAGCTATAAACTATGAAATCAAGAAACAAAGTCTTACAAGTAGATTGGAACTAATTGTGTGCTTATGTATTACAGCCTAATTACTTAGAGCTATAAATATTTTTAATATCAGCTAGCTACAGGATTAGTGAGGTCTCAAGGCTTAAGCAGCACGCACATATTAAAAGCTTTCCAAAAATGAAGCACACTTTTTCATGTCCTGGCCAGCTCAGATCTGCTCTTGCATGTGATAATTACCCAGAGATGAAAATATGCATGTACAAACCCATGGCAGTTCACACACATCAGTATTTAAAAATTCTAAGTTTCAAGAACTGATAGAACTTTGCAAGAGTTTATGGTGAAATGCTGTAGACTATGTGAATTCATCCACTCAGTTTATTCCTTTGAAAAAAGAATTATGAATGTAAATTAATAATAAAGCCCAAAATCAAAACTGCCTCAAACCATAACTAAAAGACCCCCTTCAAATTAAACTGAGATGGGGAGGAAGAGATGAGTCTTCAGAGCTTAGTGGGAGCTCTTCTCCAAGTCAGTTTGTGAGAGAGTGAAAAGTTATGAAAGTGCCAGTTTCAATATGCTTTTCAAGACTCGCATTTCGAGTAAACACTAGTCAAAGTTTTTACAGCATTAGTTATCACAAAATATGCCTGAGGCTCCACATTTTGTCAGAACATACTTTCCAAACTGTTTTAATTATAATCTTGCTCATTTTTTTTAGATTCTAGCTTGACAGCATCATCATCATTGATGCTTGACAGCATCAAACTACTATGAAAATTTATAATAGCAAGACTCCTTGAATTACAAAAAAATCACACATCCTGGATTTTATGTTAAAACTTTTGACAGATGACTCTCTTCAGCTGTTAGAAAGATTTTCTAAATGCTATACTTAAGGTGTCTTAAACTATCAGGATGTACAACGTCTTCAGTGTCAAGAGGAATCCAGTTAAAAAGAATCCTTGACAAAGCTATTCCTCCCCCAGAATGTATTCTGTACAACTTCCAGTCAATGTTACGAACAAAGGCTCTGAAAGGTGTTCAGATTAGATGTCAAGGATTACCCTAATTCTGTTTTCCTGTATGGAGTCACCCTCCTCAGTCTGTCTCCACCTTATTTATCCTCGGTGTTAGAACTTGATCTATATTATATATATATAATATATGTATTACTCATCTGTAATTTAAGCAAACCTTCCTAGCAAATTGGCTGACATAGAAATTTAGTCCAGCAGCTGACTTCTGCTTTGCGCAAGCCAAATAAAGTAAATGAAAACAGTTTCAGAAACACTGGCCAGCAGAAAAATCACTACATAAAACATCGGTGAAAAAAAAACCTGCTTGAGCATATTTCAGCATATATTCATTGACTTCATCCACATTCTGAGGAGTTAGTTTCCAGCTGTAGAGCTAGGATTTCTCCTCAAATGTTCAGTTCCTGGCCTTCCAAAACCTCCTTTCATCACAGTATTCCAAAGCTCAGTTCCCACAGCAATCTCCCCTTACTGGAATAATGGAGTTTCACATGCTGGAATTACAAGTCCTAAGCTTTATGTTGTTCTATGGTCTGTCGAAAGACTTTCAAAGCTCAGGGATCAGCCAGGAGGATGGGCTGCATGTTCTTCCTCCTCCCCACAGAAGACTGGGCTATTCAAGACACTCCCAAACACAGGCTTGTATGAACTCTAGCTAATTTTTTTAAAAAATTTGAAAAAGATTCTCTGAGCAACACGTAAAAGAATATTAACGGATGCAGAAGTTTGTCTCAGTAGCTATGTTTCTTTTGTCTTGGCAGTTAAGAGTGGAAAAACAAGTACTTGTACAGTAAGTTTACTGACCTCATCCATTTTAGATTTCTTTGTAACACATTCATAATCTTCATAACCCTTCCTCTTCTTCCTAACTCCCATCCAGAAAAAAAAAAGTGAAATGTTTAGGTGTTTTTATAAGTCAGTCTCCTTATTTGGCCACCAGATTATATTATGGACATATTTGTCACAAAAAACAAACAAAGGCTCAAGTAGCAATTTGCTGGAAGTTCATGGTTTGAACTAAAGTGAAAAGGGCAGAAAAGAAAAATCAGGAAGTCCTTCGCTATCCACAAGTCTTAAGAAAACATTTATCCTTTACACAGTTCTCGTTTTAATCACATGATTTTAAAGCCCTTGATTCTCATTACGTATGACATCAAGTGGCCAGACCTGAGAAGCCACCCAGTTATGTTACAAAATAATCAGTATTACAGCTTGCAGTGCAAATCAGCATAAAAGAACGTATTCATGTATTACCGAAAGCACTACTTTGAGTCTTGGTTCTCAGCTTCCAGTAGATACTCACATAGTAATAAGCACATGAACAGACATCCTCATGTGTACATTTAGATTTTTTCATTTTCAATCACTCACATAGATCAGAGAAAATTAAAGTTTCTACAGCAATAAAAAAGGCAGAAGTTTAACACAACAAAAAGTATCTACTTACGGGTTTGTATTAAGTGAAAGCTCTGAGCTGTGACACTTCTCTAATTTCTGTTTGAGAGCAGCAACCTCTTCAGGCCTTGGCAGTTCATATTTCTTTATAAGATTTTTCATGCCTATTGGCAACAACACAGCTCTAAGCAAATTAAACAATTTCTGCTCTATCTTGTGAATTACACAAGCTTATCAATCAGTAGTATGGCTACAATTACTTATTCCTCATAGTTAAGCTTGAATCAACAGTTTACCCTCCTTTCCCTCACTGTAACAGAGGCACAGTATACATTTTCAAGCAGCTTCTACTAGGGAAAAAAGAAAAGAACCATACAGCAAAAAAAAACCCCAAAAAAGACACAAAAAAAAAAAAACCCCACACACACAAACCCAGAATGTTACACAGAGAAAAAACAGAGTCTAAGAAGTTTTGAAGCCCACACCTCTGTAAGCATCATATCTGTTTTTTAAACAGACTGAAAAAAGGCAATATGCAACGTAACACAAACAGTTGAGTGAGAAAGCTTACCCAGTAGAGTCCTTGTAAAGTAGGCATTAGGTATTCAAAGTATTAACTCCTCCCAAACTGCTTGTTTACAAAACTTCCCATCCCACACAGCACTCAAACTTTAGAGGATCAAAGATGATATATGTAAGACTTAATTATCCTCTTACAGTCAAGGATTAATTCTAAATAACATCAAGGCAGAGCAGAAGCTGAGCACAAACAACTACACTGATACAGGTTGTTTGCATCATTGATTCCGGATTTCCTCAAGTTATAATGATGTAGAGTTCACGTCACTGTGCTAACAAGCTGCAAAATATGCGTATATTTTTTGCAATCAGCATTGTACCTCAGTCTTAAAAATAGAAAAAAAAGATTGTTTTCAGTCTTGTTAGGAATGGAAATAAATTTTCAGCTACCCTGCAAGAAACAAGACCTTTTCCTCTACCACCAATCATTTACAGATGCTTCAGAATTTCCTTCCAGCCATTCTATGTTTACAGGAGAGCTGCTTTTGGGCTTAAACTACCTTCCAGAACAATGCAAGTGGAGACTATGTGATCTCAGTGTTCCCTTTACACCTCAGCAATGGAAACACGAAGACTGGATTTGTTAGAAGAAAGAGAAAGGGAAGAGCACCTTGAGTTTTATAAATTCAATTTAAACTGCAGACCCTGATGACCTTGTATGGTGCATTCACTACTAAAGCCAGCTTAGTCAAAGGACTGGATTTTCAACGCCACAACTCTCCCATTTTAAATGTGTGCATTAGCTTAAAGCATTAAATAACTGATTACTTACTGGAAAATTCATACCCAGCCTCTTCATTTAATTAAAAAAAGGTAATAATCGGTGTACTACATTTCCAGTTATCACAGCTAAACCATGCTAGTTTTCTTGATATTTTATATATACGTATTCTCACACTAGCAAACCTAAGCATGTTTTGAAACATCTCTATAGCTGGACAAATCCTGGCAGATCACTTAACATTAATCATTAGATTAGAAAAGGTACCCTCTGCTGGTAGAAGTAGTTATGTGCAGGCTTTTGGCTGAAGATGTTATTTTTAAATCACAGTGACGGAAGAAAGTAATTTTATCCTGACTTGCAGAAACCATTACCTAGTTCCCAATATATATTTCTCACTTTTGAGTCAGCTGCTAGCACTTAATTGGCTATAGCACTTATGTTTTGAGAAGCATTAGGACTTTTGCCTTTTATTTTAATCTGCTTGTATCACAGGCTAAGTCTCAGTTTTCTCCGCCTGCATCCACATGCTAGGTAGTTCATTCTACAGCCCCCATTTTACTTACCTTTTGCCAGCCCTGAAGTGAAGAAAACCACTTGAAGCACACCTTTCTGCTTAAAAGCTTTTGCTGTTTGGAAAAGCTGTTTTTCTTCCCTTAGGGATACTGTTTATCATATTTTTTCCAATGTTTACTTACATTTCATTCCATCTAGTAGCTTGGCTAAGGATGTTCTGTCATCTTTCAGGATAAGACTTTCTGATAAATAACTGCACAGAGACACAGAAGAGTAAGTTTTAAAAATAAAGTGTCATAATTATTTGTGGCAGCTAACATTAGTTAATAAAAAATATTATTCATTATTTACATCTGCTAGAGCTTTATGATTAGACTTAATAAGAACAATTCGGTTATCTAAGTGCTATAAAGTTTTAAAAAAGCAAATCTGTCACTTGCAACATTCTTCTGTAAGAATATGATGGAAGTATTCCCCAGACATCTAAAGAACCAAGTTCCAACACTGCAGAATTAAGCATTTTTAAGTGAAGTTCACTGTGTTAACTTACATTTAAGATTCTATGAAGTGTCTAACTAACATCACACTATTGCACAGTATGACTGCTGGAGAAGGAAATACTACAGAAGAGTAGTCTTCAGGCAGACCAACACCTGTTTTTTCCTGAAGCTCTAACTTTTTCAAGACTGACCTATATATTAACATCATGGGATTGACACGTTTTCAAACCTTCCATGTGCCATCCCACCTCTGCAGGTGCACCTGCTCACAGGTCCACAGGATTCTCTCATGTTCAGCAGCTCAAACCCAAATAAAACAATAAATGACAAGGTAATAGCAACCGTAAAGTGCAGACAAATGACAGAGACTCAACTTCTTCATGAATATGCAAAGATAAAGTTCACATACTTTGATTCACATGCTATCTACAAGTTATTCTACTTCTTTTTGTAAGTTATAAGTATTGGTACAAGAAGCACAGAACATAAATTCAGGAATGAGATTAACAAGTTTAAAGTTACAGTAAGCACCTTAGTGTTTTTACACTATTCTGAGAGAACAGTGAGCCCTGTAGAGGATACTCCTACACTGTCTCCTTCTTTTAGAACAAGAGGAATTTGAGATTCATTTACAGCAGATGGAAGGAAAGCTTCTTTAAAAAGAACTGTTTGCATTTAGGATCTGGCCTTGTGCCTGCAGGTGTTACACTCTAGATGCAAAATGCTCACACGGAGACTCTAGACACAACTTCTTACAGCAACTATGTGTTGTTGTTCTGAAGAAGAGATTATGTTTTGTCCTTATAAAGGACCAAACCAAACAAACCATTCATTTCAGCAGTGACAAAGTGTTTGATAATGCCTTTGCAAACACCAGTGGCTGGAAGACAGAAAGGAAAGAAAAGACCGATTTATAACAGCACCTTATAGTTAGTCCGTTTCCATGGAAATTGCACATGGAAATCTGGCTGTACCAGCCAAATAGAGCACTTAGTTTCCTCATGCCTAGTAGCTGTCAGTTCAATGTAATTTCATTTGACTCCATAACCTTAGATACCCTAAAAATCTCACTTTTTTTCTTCCTCTTTAAGTTATTCTTTAGGTGCTTCATATGCTCAGTTTCTACTGTAATGTGACTTTCTTCACTCTAATCTTCAAGATAAACCTGAAAATCCTATGTGGTTCTAATTAGGGAAGGTCACCAGTTTGAATTTTTGTTTTCCTTCTTGCAAAGGAATACAACAACCAGACACCAACTGACTGCATCTATCACCTACTTTTTGAAAACAGAAAGGAATTGTAAAAAACAGCTGTTCCACTTCCGTTTTGAAACACACAAGAACATACCAGAGTGTTAACAATGAATAAATACACATTTCTACTAGTTAATAATGTCTAGAACAAAATAATTTCATATAAGAAGCAAAAAAAACTGTTTAAATAATACCTATAACAAAAAAGAAAATACTACCTTTCCATATTAATTCCTGCTCTTGAACCACTAGTTAATATAGCGGTGAGAGCTATCTGTGAGGGAGTAAAGAGCAGACACGCATCTGTCAAAGCCACTCGATTGAGGAAGTCATCAGCTGTTTTCCTCAAAACTTCAGGATTCTCCAGCACTGGATAGCGAGTCTAAAAAGTAAGTATTTAGGCAAGTAAGTAGCTGTTCCTCATCTTCCAGCACATTAACTCAGAACACACAATTCAACAATATTTTGTAAAGTTATAAAGTAGCAGGCCATTTTCTGGCCCCAAAAATAATCTAAAATGCTTAAAGACCACAACTAAACCAACTTCCTTCCACATATTTGCTTAGCACTTTAGAAACTAGATCTTTTAAGATCAAACACACATAAGGAAATCAAGTTTTCTAACATGACCCACAACAGATTTGTATTATATTAGCATATGAAGTATGTAGCATATAAAACAATACTACCTTCAAATCGATTAGAAATCCCTCAAATGGCCTGTATGGATTGTGGACGATAAGATGAAAGTTCAGCTGTTGAATAAGCAACAGTTCATATTCCAGTATTTGTTCAAGAGCTTTTTCCTGTCCAACAGGGCCTTCTCGAAGGTTATCAACAAACTGTGCACTGGACACATTAAATTCATCAACTTTACAAGCCAAAAATGCACACGTTAGCCTTGAGGAGGGAAAAAAACCAAACAATTGACATACGCAGCATACATCTTTTTATCAAGAGCTCTGTTCAGAAAATTTATATTTTCAAAACACCATGTTCTGAAAACAGCAAACTTTTCCAAATGGAAACTGAAAGCAACCATATTTTGTCTTTACTCATAATAAAGCTCTCAGGTTTCCTTTCTCATTTTTTCAGGTCTTTAGAGATATAAAGATTGTACCTCCAATGTTCTACTTGATAGAATAACTCAAGATGCATTGATAACTTACATTATTATCCGAGGATGATACTCCATCACTGAGTTGTTGAGGTAAAAGCGTTTGAAATACATGCAAGCTGTTCCCTAAATTAAAAAAAAAAAAAAAGAGGGAAAAATAAATATAGAAGCAAAAACTTATTAAGAAAAATGAAAAATAAATAAAAAAATCATAAAACAGAATAGGCACGTTTGAACAGTTATTATAGACATACAGGATACATTAAGGCACTAAGATGCACATAAGGCTCCCACAGGAGCCTTACGAAATAGCAGCTTGGTTATCTTCTCCATTTTTAGACATATTTAGGAAGATGGTGCTCAAAAAGCCTGCCATATCATCATGAGAAAAATCTGATACGTAAATGAAATTAAAAAAAACAAAGACTGAAAAAATTCTCCTGAAAGCTGTAAGCAATCTCAGCCAACACATCTGACTTCTTTGATCAGTAAACTGACCAACATGTTTAACATTTATGCTCCTCTGTGCGTCTGGAAGTACTTCAGTCTGCCAATGCCAAATTTGCAAGCTGATGTGAATGCCGTCTGCACGAAAGCAAGCATTTTGCAAAGCTGTTACTTGCCCGATCCAGCACACACCCTCTCCAGGGGCCAGTTCTGAAAGATTAGATCTGGCTCCACAGATCATGTAATGGCAGTCTACTGCTGTTTCAAATGTATTTCACACAAGACACTCTTCAACTTTGCTATTCAACCACATCTACCAGAAAGAGGGAGAACTGACAGGGGAGAATACAGGTTACACATCTTAACGGCTAGGTGACAAAAGAAACACAATTTCTTTCCCTGTTTCAGCTGCAAGTCCCCACTCCCACTTTTCTGAAACGCACTCTCTGCATTCAAGATAAACCAGTTCAAAGATAAGGTTTTTTTCCTTTACATATTAGTTTATTGCCAGTACAGGTGCTTGCACAAGCCTGCTTTGTGTTCAGTGAAGCACCAACGCCTGAGAAACAACTTGACCAGATAGCCCAACTTTGGGTCTCCCTCCTTTAGCTACAGTGAGATCATTTTACTGCATCATCAATCTATATGTCGTTAGGTTTGCATCTACTCTTTGCTTAATGGACAGGAAAGAAAACATATAAAAGTCATCCA